TTAGTGGTATAACATTAACATTTAAAATTGGAGAGACATTTTGACAAGTAACATGCTGTGAATCAGATTTTTGTTGCTGAAGGATTGTCAGCAAGGTTTCATCTTTCCTATGTATATTTTGAAAAGCCAAGAGAATCAGATGTTCTTGTTTGGTAAGCCTACAGAGACATGATTTTAACCTGTGCATTGTGGAAAATGAACTTTTAACTGCCTTCAGAGCATGGTCACATTATTCCCTGTCATTAACTCCATTTGGCTTAAGAACAAAATTTATAAGCAGAGCTCCAGGGTATAGAAAAATAACAGTAGGAGATGAATATGTAAGTAGCAAATACTGTGTTTCCATGGAACTATGGTGCAGGAAGACAAATAAATACATTTTACTTATATTACCATTGATGCAAATAGATGGTTCTCTGTTGTAAGAGGGCAGAGAAGAGTACTACTGAAAATGCTTCTTAGGGGTTGAAGTCTGATGTAAAGCATTATATGTGTTCATGTCCATCGGCATGAGAGAAGAGTGGGGTTTTTTTTTTGATTGCCAACTTTTGTGCAATAGGGACACGTGAAATACAGACTGCTTAATGGGCATGTTTTTATTATATATTTCTTAAAAAGAGGTGTTTCTTCCCTAGATAATATATGCAAAGAGTCCATCAAGAACAATAGTTTGGAGAATTATTAATTTAAGTTTTTGTAGAATATAACACATTCATTTTTATTCGTAACATTTCCTTACAATGCAGTGGAAACAGTGATTCTTGCAAGTGTTGGTCAAATAAAATCAGACTGACTGTAAGAAAGTACTGCTTTGTGATGTATATGGGAAAAGGTTTGGGTCCTTTGCACACAGCTCTCTGTTAGAAAATTGAAAAGCTGCAGTTTTTTTTTTTTACTGTAGTAAGACCAACCTTTGAACCAAATACTTGGAATAGACTTCACCATTTATTTTTTGCTTGTGCTTACTGTTAAGAATGTATTTTTGTTATGGCTAAATTGACAAAATAGGTTTGGGGTTTAGTATTAATGTCCTCAACCTCGAGAGGCCATTTCTAGCACTGTGGTCAGATCATCAACACTTTGACAGTTCAACGCAGTTCTTAAAAATCTGCATATAAGGTTTTAAAGCAGTTCTTGCTAGGCTATTCTGGTGCTTCACTGACCTTGAAAGGCCTTTTCTGTTATGGAACCTTAGTCCTTTTTTCCCTACTTGTTAAATTACACAGAGTGTTTATAAAGGAAGAGAGAGAAGAGTTATGAAAATAAATTAACATAGACAGATTTCAAACAAATAGTAACTTTTGGTCTGAATCTTAAGTTTCCCACAGTGAAGCAACAGAGTCAAAGTGGCCTACAGATAGATTAACAGACAGATGGAATGCATATCTAGATGGAGATGAAAAGCATCTGGTAGCACTGTAATGTTATCATGAGATGAAAGCTTCATTGTAGCTAAGTTTGTATTCATGTTGAACCAATTAGCAATTTCAGTGTTACCATTTTACAATTTTGCACTTGATCATGAAGCTTATATTTTGAGCAGGTAAAAATGTACCTTCTTAAGTTGCTTTTTCTTGATGAGTTGGGGAATGACTCTTCTACAATTCTGACTTGTGTAAACGGAAAAACCCCTCTAAAGAGAAACTTCAGTAAAGCTGTTATTTCCAACTCTAGTGCAGCTTATGGACTTAACACAAAGTCAATTTACTTACCAACAGAGGGGATTATCATGGAATACCTTACTTGAAACAATGAATGGATTTCCAAGTGTGAACAATAAACTCTAGGCTGGAGAAAATAGTTTTGAGGAGATATCTAATAATACTCTGAATTCCTGCTTTTGACATTTTACTGCAATGGAAAGTCTTTCTTCATTTGTTAATCTGAGCTCTTTCGATCTCAGCTGTCTGTTACCATCCCTGATTCCGGTTTTTTCTTCTCTTCCTCATAGGATTTTTCTGTCTTCTTTCAAAAGAAAACTGATGAAATGCAACCTCATCTTCCCCCTTTCTCAGGTCTTTCACACAGTTGTGCCCAAATCCTCTGTTTTCTCCCTCAGTATAGCCACAGAAGGTATATTTTGGCTGATATTGTTTAACACTATTTTTACCCAGTATCATAATTTTGTCTCCTAGTCTGCTTCACAACTCACTGCTTCATTTTCCTTCTTAACATTTCATTTTCTCTTAAATTAGAATTTTCCAGTTTGTAACTAAAAAGCATTTCTTTGCGTCAGCATGAAACAAAATGAGTTGGAGTTTGTTTTTTTTAATGTGAAATGGAAAACCAAATATGGTTGGAATTTTTTCTTAAGTGAATTTGGTTGCTTTATTTTAGTGTCTTTAAACTTATGTCCCCACAGCATTTTGTACGAAGGAGATTCATAAATTTATTTTATAATAAGGACTAAACAACATTCCTTTGTTTGTCTCAAACCTGCAAAGTATTTTGGTTTAGAAAATAAATATCATAGCAAGACATTTAAGTTAGGTGCTCTCTCCAGATTTTCATCAAGCTTGCATCTACCAGTTCTTTCTATGAGACAATTCTAAGGTATAGTCAGTTGCATTTCCATCCACTTACAGATCTAAAGCATCACCTAGGTCTTCTTGACCCACGATTCCACTGGTGAGATCCTTTTGCCTTGCCTTGAGAAAGGCAGTCTTGTCCTTCACCCATCCACTCAGGATTAGGCTGTAAAAGAATGATATTTCTAGTCCATCCTTATGTACCTTTGTAATACCACACATTTCATTTTTCAGTCGTTTTCCTCCTTCTCTATTATACCACACAGAAGCTACTTGTTTTCCCTTTCATGGTACTTCAGGACTTATTCCCATGCAGTTGTCACTTATTTACTATTCACTATTTCTAACAGGCTAAACCTTACTCTGATACCCATTGTAATAAGTTTAACTGTGTCATAAACTGGTTTAGACTGAGTCCCTCTTTGAACATCAGTAAACTGTTCAAATAAGTCACAATTAGAAAAAATGTGCTATAATCACATTCTCTTGGTATGTCACAGCTCTTACAGAATTTGGGAAGAGCGTTATCCAGCTGCTCACTTTGTATTGTATCTCTTTTGTGGACTCGCAGCACGATCTTAATTAAATTTGAGACCTAAGTGAACAGTGTCAGGTTGACTGTACTTAAATTCCTGGCTCAACAAAATAATACGATGAATAATATCCATAGGGATAATGTGTCACAATTTTAAAATACCAGAAAACTTAAATAATAGCTTCAGTTGTGACAGGCGGAGTCTTTCAAGTGTGCAGTGTATACTGTGACTGCTGAGTCAATTCATCTTTATTTTAAACTTTCCATTTTGTTTTCTAGTGTTGAAGCTAGGAATCAAAAGTTTCCTTTTCTATGAGTGACAAGGATCAGAGAATGAATGTGTACTTGAATTTAATTTTCAGCAATTTACAGTTTGTGAGCAATTTGAAATTTATTCTTGGCATTGAATAAAAGACTTCTTGAGAAATAATTAAAGATTTAAAACTTTGAATTTGCAGTTTGGGAGATGGAAGTCAGAAAGTTTTGTTGAGGTCCTTCTTTAGTAGTAAGAATACATTTTCTAACAACAGTGAATGTTTATTAATGAGGAGCTGGATTGCTGCTTGAATATTCTGTCAGATGTCTTGGAAATGTTCTGTGTAAAAGAACTAGTTAAAATGTCAATAAGAAGAATAGGTTCATAATTTCTTGTAGGTATCATGTCTTCTATAATTTGAGATTCTGTAATGTGTTTGGGCTTTACTTGCATTTTTATGTGTATGCATTTGGGCTTCATCTATGTCAGATGAATTTTCTTGCTTATAAAGTTAACTTTTGTCTTGATGAGGATTTGTGCTATTTAGGCTTTAGATCTGATCTTACGCCCATGTCAGCTGTTACTGGAAATGAGAGAGACATTTGGAATCTGGAAGAATCGGCTTCACAAAATCATCGTGACTCCTTGAAAGAGTAATGCCAGGTTCCCAAATGAGTCAAGCCATATTTGAAAAATCTGTGGATCCAATTTACATTTTATCTGAGAGGATCATAAAGGGATGTGCTGATAATCCAAAAGTCTCTTCCTGGCTACCAAGGAAATTGCCGTACTGTCGGATAGATTCCATCCAGTGTCTTGTTTTTAATAATACAACTCTATGTGCCAGTGCAAATGAAAGCAGGAACAACCATGGTATGATTAGCATGGCAGCATAAAGAAAGTATATAATTTTTTTCTTTTTTTTTCTAAAGCCAGTAATGAGAAGTTAAAATGATAAAAATTATTTTAGAAACTCCCTTTAAAGATGCAATGTGGTGAGACTCCATGAGAGATACAAGTTTTTTGGAAGCTTGCAGGATGGAAATTAAAGCATTACTTGCTGTGTTTTGGATGACATTCCTCCTTTCCCGCCCAAGACAAAGGATCTATTGCAGTTCTGTATCCCTGTACCAATTAAATTCCTTGTAACCTAATTTATTCTAGACAGAGCGCATTTTTCTATTTGCATGTGTTCTGTTATTGTGCTACTCATAAATTCTCAGTCTAGAGAATAACCTTTACAAAGGATGAATAAGAATTTTCTGCATTTTATTATCTTCAAAGTTCCACTGGTGTTTTGCATTTTTGGAAAGTAAAAGATCCAAGGTTTAATGTTCTCCATGATGCTGACAAATTATGTTACAGGTCTTACCTTAGCAGTTGAAGTAAATAGGGACCATAAAGGCTCTTCTTCTTCATCTTCTGCTATTATTTTTCCTGAATAATGAAGCAGTGGAAACACTGAAGAATTGGTTTCGTTTCAGACCACTTTAGTCTCTGTTACCTCTAACATGTGCAAATTAAGTATATATTAAGAATGTACATTTCTTATTGAGTGATTGAATGGGACTTCTGCTATTGTCAGTAAGTTGCTTTCATAATTTTCTATGCATTATTCTAAAAATTGACTTCCCAGTAAATTGTCCGATAAAGCACACAGAACTTTTTATCTGTTTTGTAGGGCTGTGACTCTCAAATGAGCATGTCAGAAGTGTCCTGCAGTGAAAGTACCTCCTCTTGTCAGTCTCTGGTACATGGCTCAGCTCCAGAAATCCTCATTGGCCTCCTTTATAATGCTACAACTGGAAGATTATCAGCAGAAGTGATAAAAGGCAGCCACTTCAAAAACTTGGCAGCAAACAGACCACCCAGTGAGTGAAAATCTTTTTTCATCCTAATGCTTCTGTACTGGTGGGGCTCTTGGTAGCAAGGACTTCAATCCTATCACTTAGTCTTACCCAATCAAAATGAAATAGAGCAATCATCAACTAATCTGTTTCATGTTTTATATTTCTAGTCAGTTGGGAAATAGCAAAAATCTAAAATTCAAAATATTAATTGTAAGTTGACAAGCCTGTTTTAATTTTTCATGATGACTGACTAATAAATTACCTTTATCATAATGATTAATTGCTAAATTACTAATGCCTCACATCACAGGCCAAGAATAAAAAGTCAGTGTTTAAAGAGAAAGTACATGCCAGTTAATATTAATATAAACACTCTGAACAGTTATTGCCGTTCCTAGAGGGGTTGATACTGCAGTCATTAATTGCTTATGTGCCTGTATATATGTAGTAATCTATGTAACTTGGGAATGTCAGTGAAGACAACGGAGAAACCACTTGAGACCTTTCACATATTTACTGTACAGAAGGAATGTTCACCATCAGAAAGGACTTGAACTGTGTGTTGAGGCATTTGTTCAAAAATACATTTTTCTGAAATATCTGTGAACTTTATATACTTCTAAACTGGGGCCAGATGGAATGTCACACACAGAGAATGTTATTACTCTCTCTAGTTCTTCGATACAGCTTGAGAAAGTTCAGTAATGAACTTCTTTAGAAAAATATTTTTTATTGTTTTTAAGATGATGAGTCTGATTTACATAAGTGGTTATGAGACTTAGCTACCTGTTCCTTTTGATTTTGTCTGGAGGCTCAGGCTTTAGCCACTTTTTCTGTTTCTTAAACCAAATATTGTTATGGCACTAGCAGATTATCTGGCACTACTGGGTTATGTAGCAGGCTGCCAACATTTTTTAAGTGGTTTGCACATCTCTCTTTGTCTCCAGAGTTTAGGAAGTAAGCCAGACGACCTGATACTGGTGCTCTCTCATCTTTCCTGCTTTCTCAACCCATGTTTATTCTATTCATTAATTGGCTCACCTTACTCTGCTTTGCTTTCTCTCTACTTTTGACACTGATGGAGCCAGACTTTGTTGGCATGGCCAGAGAAGGAAGAAAGATGAATCTCTAACACTTTTGAATAATTAGGGTAGCTGCCCCAGAGTCACCTATTTGGAGATAAGGTATGGAAATAGATGGGGAAAGCCAAGGAGGTCCAAGGACACCGGGTTGGGAGAAGGAATGAAAGGGAGAGAAGACCTGGAGAGAGGGATCATGTGTTTCCTTAAAGCAAAAACAGATGCTAATCATTCTGGAATCTCAGAGATAGGCAGTTTTTATTTGATATTTAGAATATGCAAGTTAGGAGGGGTTCAGTACTTATTTTGAAAACAGAGGTGTTCATTCCCTACTATGTTAATTCCCAAAATATGCTCTGTGGGCCCATGCTGTGTAGCTAATAGTTGTGTGTGTCAATGGGGTGAAATATCTGTTTCAGATTGCAAGAAAGCAGCATAGAAATTGGCATGTAGCCCTGTAATACCATGTTCTGTCTAATCTTTTTGGAGGGAAGATCTTTCATGTTATCTTTTATCATCTTCTGTGAAGGATAGGGGAAAGTTTTGATCTTCATAATAATAATAGTCCAGTTCTGTTTAGGCAAATGTGGGTTCAGAGTTCTGTTTTTTCTTAGAAAACTGCAAACTAATGCACTTTCTGAGCCTGGTAAAACCATGCACAGGATATTGTGGAATCCAGATTTCCCCTGTGGGTTGTTTTGTGCCTCCCCCTCCCCTCTGCCCAGTAGTGGTGCCATCTTCTTTTAAACTCCTGGACCCAGGTGCATACCACTGCCCTTTCCAAACTCCTTGTTGAACAAATTGTGGACACCTACCAGCCTCAGTCTGTGCCATCATTTCCTCAAAATGATAACTAAGGCCCATAGGGATGATGATGAAATGTTCTGGTCAGATTTGTTTTTCAGAGTACCAGTGGTGCAAAATCCTGAGAAGTGCTGAAAAGTACATGAGCAGTTCAGTTTTCATTCATGTATTGAGGAACAATGATAGAAATGGAAGCAATTATTCTTTCCCACATGCGATCCTTTCTGTAGTCTAAGGGTTGTGAATCTATGAATTTTTGTGAAGTGCTTCTGCAGCAAATATGAACTGAATACTAAATTTCTACTTCTTGGTAGTACAAACTCCTCTGCTGCATATTTATATGTTATAGGGTAACTAATTTAACAACTGAGTACAGACCAATAGGCCAGATCCTGCAGGTGATAACAGTGGATGTTGAAATGTGTCTTTGTTTCTCTCTGTGACAATTAATATTTTGTCTGAGAAAAAGATGCTTCTTAGTATTCTTTAAAGTTTTGTTAAAATGGGGTATGAGCTTTTGCATATTAAATGCATGTGTGTGTCTGGATGCACACACACATTAAATCCATAAATACATGGATTTTAACAAGTGAGATCTTTACATTCTAAATAGAGACCCATAGTTGATTTTTAGATATAAGTGTCCCTCAACTATTTTTAGAGATTAGATCAGAGTCATTCTCATGCCCAGGTTCATCACTACTCAAGAACTAAAGTATAACAGTCAGATATCAGTAACTATAAAAGCTAAGGGCAAACCCATCTTTGTTTTCAGTTCAGTGATTTTTCATTTTATTGCTTTTAATAGGTGCAGTTTAATTACTATGTACAGTTTTTCTAATTATGCTGGAGTTTGCATGAAAAAGCATAAGGTTTGATAAAAAGGATACAGTGATTTTTACCCAATCTGCTACAACCTAATCATTTGCATGATTCTTGCTTTGTTGAGTGTGTTTTAGAACCCAGTGGGTATTAGTGCTAAGATAACCCATTATGTAAGTGGTGTAATTTTTGTTGAAGATTACACAAAATCTGCACAAAATTTTCATTTCATTAAATTTTACCTGACAATCCCTTTGTTCAGTCCTTTTTCTGATCCATGCTGCTAAGGTTTCGTGTTCTTCCACTCCAGTGAATAGTGTTTCCTCTTAAACTTTAACCTTTGATCCTCTCTCACCCAACTACTGACATCTGGTCATTATTTCTTTTACTGCTTTCCACCCCCTGTTGTCAGACGGACTGTTCTGTTGTCTAAAACACTTGATAGGTGGACAGGTTTATATAATCCGAGGTGAGTTCCTGTAGAAACTAATTGGATGTTGTCTTTTTCATGCAAAAGAAAATGTGCCAGCAGTAAAATTTCCACGGCTGCCTGCCATATCAGTTTATAAATGTATATGTTTATTTTTTGTGGCAATCTCTAATGCAAAAGTTGCATTTATCTCTGATTATGGATGTTGGGATTTCAGTGTACCTGCAAAGTGAGAATATTCAATTTGTTTCTTTTTACATAAACTCCAATCTTTAATTCATATTATCCATTAACGAGAATAAGACAGGAATAGAGAACGAAACACAAGATTGTTTTATACGGTTTTATGTTGCCTGTCATCAGATAACTTCATGAAATGTGCATCTGTCTGCAGGAGCATGGTTTGGTGCTTCTGGTCAAAGGAAAATAGAGCTTTAAAAATAAGGGTTTATACCCAAATGCTAATTCCTAATGTGTGCTAACTACATTACTTGCATCAGCTTCTTAAATGTACTGCTTAAGAGTACTGTACAAACTACATTTTAAACAACCATCTTGAATTATGCAAAAACTTGTTTCTCTTTAAACATGTATTTAATGTATTCCTTCATTAATCTAGGAATTAAGAGGGGTTTTGTATTGTGTAAACTTCCATCTTTGAATGAACTTTGCTACATTTCGGTCTTCAAAATAAATAAAACTGAAAAGCCCAAAGTGAGAACCGCATCCATGCAGAGATCATTCTTAAGCATTTTATTCTGGCTGTTTTGATATAGTCACTGTGTATCAACGTTACCTTTTTTTTTTTCCTCTTCATTAGTTGCCTTTATTCCACTTCATTTATTCATATTCTTTGAAAATTCAGTGGTATGCTTTATAGTGTTGTGCCTGCTTGGAGCTTGCTAAGTGTTAATGCAACTTAAGTTTGTTAAGACTAAATAAGGGGGATCAACGGGAAGAGGATTATGAGGTATACCTTTAACTTAACCCATGTACATAGTAATGAAGCTAGTTAATTTGTTAGTGTGTTTGTAATATTTTGCTTACTTGTCATTTTTCCATGTGTCTAAACTAAGCTGTGTTCAATTGTCCTGGTATACACCATATCCTTGTTTCTTCTACATTCTCCAAAACTTTTGTTCTAAGATATCTGACATTGCAAATATGATTTATTTTGTAGATACGTATGTTAAGTTAACACTGCTGAACTCGATGGGGCAAGAGATGTCCAAATGCAAAACTTCCATCCGCCGAGGACAGCCAAACCCAGTGTACAAGGAAACTTTCGTTTTCCAGGTGGCTCTGTTTCAGCTGTCGGACGTGACACTCATACTGTCTGTATATAATAAGCGCAGCATGAAGCGAAAAGAGATGATAGGGTGGATTTCCTTAGGTCTCAACAGCTCAGGAGAAGACGAACTCAATCACTGGACTGAAATGAAAGAATCTAAAGGACAGCAAGTGTGTAGGTGGCATACTTTACTAGAATCATAATGGATGGTAGGAAGTGTGGTCATGGTTTAAAGGGACTTTGTTCTCCCGAGAAGATGATCATCTCTGGTCACAATCAACAGATCTGTTACAGGAGTAAAAAAACAAAAATTGAGGTCAACATTCCATCATAAAGAGTGCACAACATGCAAAATGGCGGAATTTAATATACAATCTTCACTTAGTGTCATAAACTTCCTTGGTGTCAGAGAAGCCTGGCTGTACACAGATACGTTAGCAGTCCCTTCCCTATCCACCTGATGCTGTATTTGTTTGGGTTTGTTTTGTGGTTTTCAATTCAGAAACATTTTGTGTAAGGTTCTTTGAATTTATGTAAGCTCCTCCTTGTGTACTTTTTGTATTGCTTTAATACTGTAGCTTCTGACCTGCCTGCGTTCAGATTAAAGGTCAATAGTTTGCACTTTGAGAAAAAGTTAATGGTCTGTCTAGCAAAAGCAAAAAAAAAAAAAACAAAACCCATTGGTGAAAGAACACTTAGTAATATAGTAAATAGAAATATACTGTTGTTTTACACTGAGTTTCTTTCCAGGAGCTTAGTACAAGTAAGTTTTGAATTTTTGATGTGCAGTTGGTTTGAAAAATACTAGCATTTGGGCATCAGGTGAACTTTGACATCGAACTAATGTTTCTTCAATCTGTGACAGGAACGAGCTCTATATATGGCATAAATTGGGTTTTTCCCTCTTGCCTGTACTTCTGCCTAATCCAAAGAGACCAGATCATTAGTTTGGTCCCTTCCAAAACTCCTTAGACAGGTTGTACTGTAAAACTATGTAACTTTCTGTTGAAAGCACTTCCTGTATTCATGTATTCCAATGTAGGAAGCTCATAGAGCACGACTTTACTAAAATATATTTTCATTAAACAAATTGATACAGATTTCTTTAAAATGTCAGCAGTTCGAAGTTAGGCTGAAAGACTGTGAAGGAAGGTGCAGCAGTTGAACTGCTCTGAATGAATGTGAAATACTATGGCTTTGCTTGAAGCAGGTGTGAGTCTCTTCTGAGCTCTTTTAGGAACTACCATATGCTGTTCACTGGAACTAGAGAGCAGACAAGGAGTTTTTACCTTTCTTCTTGAAGAAGAGAACATCAGTAAGTTGTATTTCTAGTGATTTTCCAGCAATTGAATGAATGTTCCCACACAAAATAGAAGTTTGCTTTGCTTGTGTTCAGGCTGGGAAACATGGCTTTCTAATGATGCAGATGAGAAGTTGCAGTATTACAAGAAGGTTTGCCATCAGATAAACACTTGTGGCATCCACCAAAATTGGGGGAAATATCAGTGCTTCTGAGATTCCTATTTGCCCCAAATGCTTTAGCTGGACTAGCGCTGATTTATTGACTGCTGAATCTAATTCATATTACTGAAATTGTGGGTTATTGAGTAAACATATTTATTTTTAAAAAGCTTCCCAATTCAGATATTCTTTTTGCCGGTAATGAATAAGCTCTATTTATTTTTAATTGTTCCTGTATGGAAAGCAAGCTTTTTTTAATTATTATTTTTATAAATGATGGTGATGTCTTACTAATATGGGACCTCACTGACTGTTGTAGCACTTGGTGGGTAGAGGAGCAAAGTGTTAGATTTTGCTGAGAGAATTAGTGTTAGTCTGGGGTGTTCTCATTAGGACAAGTGTTTTTCTCTTGAATTTCTTTATATTGTCTTTGAAGAATCCTGACCTTGCGTTATACAGGCTGTCAAGTACAGTGAGATTGGTGACGGTGAGTATGCTGTAATAAAGATATTTCACATGGTTCTCAAATTCTCTCACTACTTAACAATTGCATTAAGTCCTTTTGAAAGTATATTATAATTCCACGTGTTGGTTTATTTGATGCCTTTTGATGGGTTTATTTTCAGAGCCAGGCTTTCGGTTTTTGTGGATTTAAAGTTTTAAACACTATTACAGACCTTTTCGGGGTTTTTTTCCTTCTGATATTGCGCTGCTGCTTCATTTACAGAAGCTTTATTTACTAAATACAAATAATGCAAAAACTTTCTTTAAACAGGAATGGTCTTGCAGCAATACTCTTTCAGTCCTTTTTGTTGATCAGTTTGTGAAATATAATGTTGAGCGTAGAATTTAATAAAAAGTCAACATTAATTTTATATGCATAAGGAAAATGCTCAGATTTTCACAATCCTTTCAGTTTTCAATATAATAGAAACAATGACTTAGAAGCTGTTCAAAAGCAGTTTTTCCTAAATGTGGAAGTGTTTTTATCCATTCTCTTTGTGGATATTTGGATGCTCTTTCCTGAAGCTGAAAGTTGTCTCTTGGTGGTTGTCTCTTTGTACAGGTTTTGCTATGTAAAATAATGTACAATATTTAACAGCAAGAACTGAGCCAGTTAATTCTAATGGAGAATGTACGTAACATCACCACTGAACAAATGAAGAAGTCAGTTTGGAAGGTGCAGCAAATAACCTCTTACAAAACCAAACTAAACAAAACCGTGTCATGATGTGCATTTCTGTTTGTAGGTTGATTTGCATCAGCTTTCCATCTAACCGTTTAGATTTTAAGGCACTGAAATCTTAATTTAGACACAGCGCAGATTTATAGTAGTCCGTGTTGGGCACATTAGGGAAGAGGAATCTCTCTCTAGGTCACACGACTTTTCCTGAAGTATCCAAGACCGGTCTGTGTTTCACAGAAGCAGGATTGATTTACTTGGATCTATACTGTACAGAGCCTAGGAACTCAATGTATAAAGAATGTAAATGAATGTTAAATTTTGAGGCAGTAGAATATGGATTTGCCATGCAAAACCAGTCACACCAATAATTGGATTCGTCTTGGGCTTTTTGTGAGTTAATTGTAGTACCAATAGCTGTCATGTTGGTTTTTTTTCCTAGAATCCGTTCTTATTATTTGATTTGTTTGTAATTTTGTTTTTCTTACTACTTATGCGAACCTATACTTTTGTATTTGAAATATACCTTTAGATATTGTGGATTTTTCAAACCTTACATAAGGGCTTTACACATACATTGTGTTTTGTGCATTCAGTTAGGTCATAAGCACGGAACAGAATTTCTAAAGAACAAAGTATCAGTAACCAATTAGAGACACTTGTGTTTTCCTCAGAGTTGGCTGTGGTTTTTTTCATAGCTTTTTGTTGTTTGCCTTTGTTCAAAAGTACAGTAAGCACTTGGAAAAGATTATCAAGCTAATTACTTTTATGTGTACCAGTTTACCACGTAGAGATTGCAGATCTTGAATTGAATCTGTTTCCTGTCAGTGTAGCCTTAAATAATTATAGAGCAGTGACGTTCTTGCAGATTCTATTCTTGAAAATATTGCATCCTTTCTGTGTATGAACTATTTGGTTTAATGTTTAGAATGTTTCACGTAAGTCGTCTTAAAGTATTATAAATGTAAAAAACTTGGTTAGTTCCTTTCTGTGGTAAGGGCAAGGTTGTGAAGGGCAGGATAGCCAAGCATGATATCACTTGAGCTGAAAACAAATTTTATGGAATTTACTGTGGGACATATTTTTCTCTGTAAATTTTTGCAACGATTCGTGATGACAGATGTAGTGTCAGCATCAGTACCTTCCAAACTGTCACACCTTTGGAGCAACTTTTTTGTTGTCTAAAGTTTATGTTTTTGATTTATTCTCTTTTCTCCCCAATGACTTACTCCTGCAAACTCCCCAGCACCCTGAGAAGCTGTCTGTGGCAGTCACAGGGCCTTAGAAGTCAGGGACATTCTGCACCACTTACTTTAAGGTACTGGTGCAAAATTTCTGTGCCCTGTACAATTCCTAAAGATTTCTGAAATTAAAACCATCAGTTTTAATGTAGTGAAGAAGAAGAAGAAAACTTCTTTGAGGGAGACATTTTAATGTAGAAATTTAATATAGATTACTCTTACACATACCAATTCTAAAAAATTTCAGAGGTAAAATCAGGGAATGAGGGTTGAGGGAAGGCCTTTTGGCCTGAGCTGTTTCAACTGGAAACTAACAGCAGAATGCCCTTTTGTTGAACTGAGCCCTTTACTTCCTTATCACACCTCTCTGGAGGAAAAAAATTTGTCCTGTTTAAAGCAGTCTTTAAAATTATGGCTTGTCACTTGTAAGACAGACTGACTTCCTCCTGAAGCTGAAATCTCAGTAACAACTAAACATCCATTTAGTTCTCCGACTGATGTGCATGCTTGCCTGCTGTTACTGTTAGTGAGAGGAGCCCATGGGCATCAACAGGAGAGCAGACCTCACCCTGAAAGTGTGAAGAACAATAGGATTTGCAGGTTAGAGAAGTAGTGCAGCATGGAACCTGCAGCACAGCCAAATGTGATTTCAGTTATGAATGAAGGTAGAAAAGCAAACAGCCGTATATTGACACAAACTTGTTATTTAATAATTCTCTCTTATATTTGTTTCTTCCTTTTCTCAGACTTTGAAATATTTTTAAAACTTAGTATTAAAAATGTTGAAGCAGTCCCCGAACACCTTGATAATTTTAACTGGAACATTCAGCAAAGTTTATTGTTAGAACGAGCCTTCAGGAATGTTCTGTGGTTTTGGTCTCTAACTCAACTGCTAGATTTCAGACTGCTTTGTTCTGATGATTGTTTTTGAGGGGAAAGTTGCAGGAGCATTTCCTTGTCACTGAATCAACAATGCCTGTTGAAGAGATGTCATCTGAGAGCGAGAGCATTAAAATAAGAGATGTCTTCATACAGTAGCGGTGGCAGTGACTCACATTCCACTCTTGGAGCCTTGTGGCCCTTGGAGGGCCCTACTCAAAGAAACTGTGACATGGGAATTGTGGGAGTTCATACATTCAAAGCAGCGCTGGTCTGTGTGGGCATCACGTGGCTTCTAAACTAGTGTATTTTACAGAGGTAGATGTTTTTTATTTGCCCAGGGTGAGTAGGGCAGGTGCCAATTGACCTGTAGTGACATGGATTAGTTTAGCCTTAAGAACTTATCACTGCCCCTCCTTAAGTTCAAGCAGGGTTTTTTCCTTTCTGCAGACTATGCAGAAATTTTATGCACCCAGTGTATCTGCTTATATTATGCCTACCTGTCAATATGGCACAGTTATGTTAGTGCTGGCAAGCTTAGTTCTTACATTAGGTGGTGTGACTGAATTAATAAATGGGCCTGGTACATGCTGGATCAGGTTTTACTGCTCAGGCTTACGCTGGTACCAATACAGAAGTAAGATCCTTCTGTGGAGGAGTGTGCCAGGAGTTAGGAAAGTGGGTAGTATTGCTCCTGTAGGAATGAAGACCAAGAAACAGCTATGCCCAGAAAATGGGCAAGGCTACCTTATAGCAAGAAGGAATCATTCACTTCCTAGGAAGCATGTGCTGATTGAGCTGGCATAAAGACCCTACTCAGGAGAGCAGAAGCAGTAATACCATAGCACTGAAGGAATACCTCATGGACATTCAGGGATGTAATTAATGTCATCCTTTTGTCTCTTATATCTGAGGACAAGAGTCTTGCCCATTTTATCAGTACAATTTTTTTGCTGTGTTTTGCGAATCCTGTGGACATTCACTGCGTGCTGAGGGTCTAAAGTGGATTGCTTTTTAACTTTTGGTTTATTTACAAAGCATGAGTTTGAATGAATTTACAGAATTAACTAGAAGCATTATCATAGCTTTGAGATGTAATCTCTAGGCCATAGTGCAAGCAAGGAGCAGGGCTTTGGAACAGTTTTGATAGTCAGTTTTGCAAATGGCTTATTATGACATTTTAAGAAAATTTCTAAGCAGTTGAATGTATTAGGGAATATTTACAAAAAAGGAGATAGAGCAATGATCTTTTTTTACTATACAGCTAGTTTGCTGTCCTTTCCAGTAAACCACAAGGTTCATTAGTGCTCAGTACTGTTTTGTTTACGATAACTGTTTTTAATGTGATTTTCATGACGAAGTGTAATTAGTGAAACCTTTTATTCAATTTTTCCCTTTCTTTGCTTTTTTTAAGGAGAGATTTCTCCTTATATAGTATATATACTTTCTTACAGAGCTTTCTTACCTATTTTTATATAAGATTTAACAATGTAAGATTAAATGCTCTATGAGCAAGCTATATCACTGTTAACACAATCAAAAGTGCTAATATAATGACTAAGGGCCTGAACCTTCTGCCTTTTACTCAGGTCCTGGTTTAACCAGATGTATTTCATGTTGTGTAGTACCTTTCCCTGTAAGTAGTTCCATCTATTTCTTGGGATGTCTCAGAGAAAGGCACTACTGACATGAATAACAGTGGTAAAACTGAGCCTCTTCTCCATTCTTAGTGGGACATCTGTCATGAATACAGGCTGCTGGCTCTGTCCCAAAGTATAGTTATAGATTATAGTTCCCTTGATCTTCAGTGATTTTGAACTTGTTTTTCTGGTGACTATAACCTAATAACTGATCTTAGTGAATACAAATATTGAATTGTGCTGTTATCAGCAAGATTATTAAAATGTATTTCACATCTTCATTCATTCTATCATTGGGATATAAGGATTTTGAAGCATTATACTGCATAGACATAGCACATATTCACCACATTTCTAGAAAGTATGGAAAATACAGTATGTAGCATTTTCTTGCATACTTTTATACTGCCTGTAAGTCACCGATGCACTCGGTGCCTTCCTTCTTTTATATAAAACTAATGCATAGAGAAACTAAAGTTATGGTGTGTAAGCAATGTCACTGCAACTGAAGAGATGTCTTAAACTGATTATTTCTAGTCCAGGAGGTTTCAAAGGGCAGTTCAGTTTAACACAGTGCTTTAAATTTCTTTGAATTTGAAGTTTTCCCCTTTCCTTCCTCACGCCCTGTCCAAGGAACTTCCTCATATGACTGTTTATTCTTAATTGATTCCTGTGTCTGATGTAAGTCACATGGTGTTAACCAAAGAACCAAGTCTGTTTCTAATTATTTGGACAAATAATGTTTGCACTTGCTATTACGTAAAAGACAGAAATGATATGATGGATCTCTGTTAACAAATACAAAATAGGCTTCTGTGAATGTGACTCCCAGCTGAGAATTCCAGATACCTCTTTTCTGACTGGATGTGCATTGTTGTATCAGTAGCAAAGTGTTTGGGTTGTATTTCATGGTGCATTTTAATCAAAATCCTATTACAGACAAAAATGTAAGTCAGTCAGTGCTGTCAAATTAGCTTGGTTTAGCCATGTTATACCTATATCTGAAGTGTGCTATTTTGAGAACAGATTTGGCTTTCCTGTGTCTGAAGTCCTGATATTGTACAATAATTATCTTGTGTATGCTGGTCTTACAGGAACAGACTGATGCTGCATTGTATGTACATTTCCTACCGGTATCCCTTCATTGTATAATTTATGTAATATAACGCAGTTTTCAACTACTATTTCAACCTGAAATTCCTTAAATTTCAGTGCATGTATAGCCTTAAATATTTAAGACACCAAGCACAGTTTTAATGGGAATAGGTTATATTTGCAAGTCCTGTTTGACACAGAAGTCAGAGAATTATTTTTATATATCAGTCAAAGATTGTAGAAAAAATGGGTATATTGCAGTCATCTTATCAACCATGCTCGTACTTATATGCATTTAAAAAAAAAAAAGGGCATTTTTACTAAGGTTTTTAGAGGTAAAATATCAGTGCTCATTTCCTTTCTTGAATTTATTTTGTTTTCATACTTTCATTTCTGTACAGAACCGTGGTGCCCTTAACTAATACCCAAGACTGAATTCACACCTATTTTCAGTATTCCTTGAGCTGCTTTTCTTCTCCGTTCCTTTTTCAAACTGAATAAGTGCTAATTAAAATTTCCCTAAAAAAAAAAAATTTCCCTTTTTTTTTTTCATTTTGACAGTAACATAATTAGAGCAAATGACTGTTTGCAGCTGTTTATGCAGCTTATTAAAGTCTTAGAAGTTTGTTTGAAGCTGTCATTATAATCCAGATGAAGACATACGTTTCATGGCATTTCAGTCCACAGCAGGTGAAAACGGGAGCTCTGGCGATGAACGTGCAGATCTGCACGTTGGGTGTCAGACTGTACATCCCCAGAGGGATTTATAATTAAATGTCACATTGTATCTACAGTATCTCCAGTTGTGTGTTGTCAGATTCTTGTTGTTTTGTTTTCTTTCTTACTAACTAGCAAAAAACTACTTTTATCATCTTTGTGCTGCTGTATATTAATCCTGAGGGTTTCCAGTGCGCAAGATCGGTTTAATGTTGTCAGTTCTCTTTCTGTGAAAAAAACCCTGGACTTTCAGCATACACATCCCATTCCTGTTCCGGGGAGAGCCAGAATGCCACCAGCTGGTTTTAGTTGTATTTACCTGCACAGCACAGGTAACTTTAATCCCAAGTTAGTTTGAGTGAAACATGCTATAGTATATTTTCAAACCATGGATCTGTCACAGCATTAAAACAGTCATTTTGCATATCTGAAACTTTGCAGCTGTGGATTTGTATTTTGTTTACTTCTATCTCTGTGAAATGTATTTTTGTCAGTTTGAGGACTTTGGATATTACAAAGTATTTTCTGTATGTGGAATCAGCTTTTTGCATGTGAATTTAATTGCTGAAAAGTATTTGAAAAAAAAAAGGAAAAATCACTTTTAAAACTGGTTGTCGTCACTTTCCTTTGGAATTCATTAGATTGTAAGCAAAACCAGACTTCACTGTTCAGAAGATAGTAATGCTTGGTCAACTATTGGAGCTGCTGTCTGCATTAAAAAATAATAAAATATTTTTTAATTTTGGCAAGTTAATCCTAGCCCTTACGCACATTTTGGCTCTGTTTACAAATTTCCTAAGTTACCCCAATTCCCTTTCTGTTCCTCACAGTCTTTGTTGATGTCATGAATCTTCTACTTAGAGAATTTTAAATTAACCAGTGTGATAATGTTCTAAAAAATATGATGTGTATACTGGCAAATAAAGACACACTCAGGTGATCATTCTGTTTGACTTGATACAGTTTTCTTTTGGGGTCATCCATTGTGATTCTCTTTGCTTCTTTGTCCCACATACACTTATCAGAAAAGATCTCATCTAACGTATTTATGTTTAACTTCTTTCTAAGGAATAAGCAGGCTGAAATAATTGAGAGTTGATTTAAACATGAACGAACACTTTCCATAAGGAACAATTATAATTTTACTGTGACCCAGCTTAGGTCTTCTGTACTATCCTCTGATGACTTTTGTGGTACCTGCTGGCAAAAAGGCTTCCTGGGCTTCCATGGCGGCTCAGTTTCTGAGGTGCCTGAATAAATGTGTGTTTTCATACCTATTAGCATGCATGAAAAAAGAAGTGTTAGAACCATTAAAGTAGGTTTTCCTATCCTAAAGGTAGGAAGACTTAGTGTAAAAAGCTTTTATTGTTTCTTCCCATTCCTGCAGATGAAAGGAGCGCAGCCCAGTGACCTTCAGCAGATGAAAGTGGAGGGAGGGGTGTGTTTCTTTGCTATACGATCCTGATCATCTGGACCTGTCATCATCTGTACAAATCTTAGGACTTCTGCAAATAAGAAAAAATGGTACTTGCTGCTGTTAAGGGTAGCATTTTCAAAATGCTATACACTTAAAAATAACTTGGCATTCCATGTGGAGACTGGTACATATTTGATGTAAACTTTGAGAGTTTCTCAATACAACACTTTTGTTGTGTCCATATTCTTTAAAAGGTTACAAGGCATTTAGTATCCTTGTCTGTCAGAAAAAAACAAACAAACAACTAGGAATGTTTTTCTTCAGATTATATAAGATCTTTTAAAAGGTGATAATATGAAAAATATTTGCTTAAAAATTAAAGATTTATGAAATTGTGAAAACATAGCAGAATAAATGAAATAGATGTGTTATCTGTGGGGTGATAGTTGTTCACCATTTATGAACAGTCATTTTTTACAGAAAGATCACAGAGGAAAGAGTTACTACACAGCTTCAGCTGCATGTGTGGTACCTTGCAGTAAGTCACCCATGTTTCATGCAAGTAGCTGAGCACAATTATGTGTAATACTCATAGTTGTTAGATGGTTTGTTGTGCAACAGTAATTGCTTCAGACAGGTAGAGCCAAGTTACATCACTTCTAAGCAGATACAACTTTACCTGTCAAAGGTTTTCTCTGAATAATTGTCTTCATGTGGCAAATTACACATCAGATAGTATTTTAAATCGTTTTGAAGTCACTAGTTGCTTAGTTCCAAAGGTTCCTGTGGGTAAGGGTTATTTAACATTTTTTCTGATGAAATTTGCCATTTTTTCCTTTAGTATTTTTATTTTTACAGTCCAACAGTGCAGTTCTAATTAGTGTTTTGTTCATATTAGACATTTCATTTTACTTGTAAATTCTGATTGAGACCATTGCTAAGGCATTTTGTTACCTGCTAATCATTTAGAGTAGCTACATTCAAGCACAGGATTCAAAAACCAAATTTATTGTTGTATTGGTATCAAGAATAGTAAATCAGCTGGGCTTTAGATAAATGATTTATTATTAAATTTAAAACCTAATAGGTTTGAGTGTTCTGCATGTAGTTTACACTGGTTTGTTTTCCACTTAATTAGAAGCCTTACATTTCATCTTATTAATAATGAAAGTCCTCTTGTCAAATTGTGTAAGATCATGTTGAACTAATATGTATATTTTAGAGGCAGAATAAAATTTCCCCTTGTAGCCTTTCATATTATTTCATTGCATTATGCAAAAATTACATTCTGCTTTTAATTTTGCTACTGTGAAATAAGAAAACTTCTACTCATCTTTATTTCCTGCCTGAGAAAGTCCTGGTTTCAAGACCTGTGACGAAGATAGTTCAATTGCTGAAGCCCACTGTTTACAATGAAACATTAACTGTAAACAGAAATTCAGAATACCAGGCCAACTGAGCTTTATAAATGTAATGAATGTGAGTATAAAAGATAATAATCAGTCAGTAATCAAATCTAAATTTATATCCTGTCATATCAGTCCTTGTTGCAGTGGTTCAACAGTTCAGAAAGGGAGCAGGCTTAAACATGCCAAAGGAGACCAGATCTGTACTTCATTTGTCTTTTAGAGCAAAGTACACATTTCCCATGATACCACAGCATTTTCATCTGCAGAGACCTAAAATACCAATAGACTAAAATGTCAGCCACACAAGCCTTTGCTCATTAATGCCTTCACCAGAAAATGTCTGGCATTCTTAAGAAATCAGGGAGATACAGAATGTAGAATTCATTCATATTAAAAAAAAAGAGAAAAGCCATATAATCAGCTGTTTCAAAAAGCTCCAAATCAGTCAGCTAGGCTAAAAGGTCATGAATATGTAGCTAGATCTTAGTAAGCCTCGGTGGCAAATCATCACACAAGCTTGCTGCGGTTTCCCGAGATTGTATAAAACACTCAGGAGCACACAAGCCAGGCCAGTAGGCCAAGTAATGGCATTAACCATTCAGCCTGCACCATCTGTTACATGTACAGCCAAGCCGGCAGTTTGGATAGAGTCGTTCTATATGGCTCCTAATTTCCAGGCACTGGGTTTTTGAACTGGACTTCTTCACACCAGGCTTGCCAGCAAATACAAGCTACCCTCATCCACAGCACCACCATTCACTGCCAAGTGGTAGCATTGACTGGGACGTGACAGGTGTTTGCAGAGTCCTGAGCATACGTGTCAATAGAGCAAGGCAAGGGTGTGATGGTGTTTGTTGGTCTAAGCGTGGGACTGGGTATCGGGAGGTTTGATGCAGCCTGGCTTTGTAGCCAGTGGATTTACTTGGCCCTTATTTTCATTGCCAGAATTCCCATTTTCACAGAATCACAGAATATGCTTTCTGTTGGAAGGGATCCACCAAGATCATCAAGTCCAGATCTTAGCCCTGCACAGGACCATCCCCAAGAGTCACACCATGTGCCTGAGAGTAGCACCCAAACAGCTTGGTGCTGTGACCACTTCCCTGAGGAGCCTCTTTCTTCCATGTCACTGATATACCCAGGCACTAAATGACCTGTCATGCTAATAAATTAATCAGTAAAACAGATGCACATCTTTTCTTTCACTGAAAGATAGTATAAAATACTCTGTAAAGAATTACTATATAGAAATTGCTACATGTGGTATTACATGCATAAGAATGCTTTTCTACTTATGCTTAAACATGCCAAATATGTGTGCTGAATACCTTAGTTATGCAGTCCTTCAGTGATTCTTGCTATCAGCAAGAGTCACTGAAGGATCAGGATAAAGCTTAAGAAGATTTTTAAGTTTTCAGTGGGATCAGTTTCCCCATGTGACTGAATTGGAACCTAGATGAGTGCCAGTGCACTGGGGGGAGTGGAAGTGCACAGCTGGAGCTGGCAATCCCCTGGCAATCTGCGCTTAGCTCAGCTAAATATGACACTGAAATCACTACCTGAGAAAGCTGTTCTGAACGTGGGGGCATTTTACATTGCTGACTGTTGCCTGTTGGAATCTAACCAACCACTTCTCACCTTATTTTGAACAAATTGTTTTATAAATTGTTAGAAGTGAAATCCATAGGTGCAGGCAGAAATTAATCTAAAAACTTTTGAAACACCAGAGAGAATAATTTTAATGGGACAGAAATCACTACTTTGTTCTGACATAACGCATCTTTTAAACAAATCCATTGAAAAAATTCATAGCAGTGTAATAATTTAAAATTCTGTCCTTTTAATACAGTTGATGTTCCCCAGAACACTTGTGCCACAGCAGGACCCCCTTCAAGGTTGTAGGTTGTCCTTGTTATCTGACATGAGAGCCCCTGTGGAAGGATTGCCACTGCTGGTACTTGCGCCCCTTTGAGAGGAAGAGTGATTGTGCATGAACACGTGGGAACAACAGCACCACTAGGATGCTGAGAAAGAGCAGTTGCTGAAGGGAGTTCAGAAGCAGGTGTTTCCAGACAATGTGTAAAGATCCAAGGATGCTGGTACCTAAACCACTGCACATCTTGAACACAGATCTGCTCCTCCACTTCCCTTTTGGCTTTTCCATGAAATGGGGGGATCTGCCCTAAGGCAAGCCTTTCCAAGCCAAAAACGTTTCAAGGAATTGTTCTTCTCTGAGTGCGTATCCTACTCTCTCCAATTATGCGTAATATTTCACTGAAAGCTTTCTCACAAGGCAGACACGTGGCATAAGATCTACTGTATCAACAGCCTGAAATATAAAATACACCTAAATCATTCATTGTCATTCTGGACAAACCAAATTAAGCATCCCCAGAAAATGCTGCAATCAGAAGAACAAAAATGATTCAATGCATTTTTAGTCCATGTAACCACTCAATGACAAACATTTCTGCCTTGTACAAAGGTACAAATGCTGTCATTTATGCGAGGGGTAGATCTGAAAAAATGCTAATGCATCGTGGTGGTCTGCAGTTAAGATCTTCAGCCTTCACTTGTATCCACTAACTCCATTTGTCAGCGGATTTCTCAGCAAGTTATTCCACGTGATCTTTTCTGGATTATTTTCAGGACACAATGTGGAGTTCTGCTTTTCACTTTAATTACTGTATTTTTGTAAGTGCATGTTGAAACATTTAACAGATACTAATTTTGGTATATAGTCCTGAGTCAAGGGAGTATATTGATGTTCCTAACCTAACCCTGAAATGAGCCAGGGAAGATGAAGATGAAGCCTGGAAAGCTCTTTGCAGTTCAAGCCACTGCTGCTCACCAGTTTAAGGGAGGAGACAAATACATCAATCCTAATTTAATGGGAGAATTTTCAGGTAGACAGTAATTGAGTTGGAATTTGGCCAAAGCCTTGGGGTTAAAGAACCTACTGTTATGAAATGTGTTAGAGGATTTTAATGAATACAAACAACTGAGATCACAGTCTCTTCTGCAAGGGGCAGCAAAAAATGCTTGATTGCCTTCAGAAATACTCTGCTGCCTCTAATGAGGCTGGGGCACTGAAAAAAATATGCCACCTTCTGATAC